CAAAATTTAAAAATTATAACTTTATGGTACTTATAAAGAAATGTGTTCGTAACTTATATTTTGTAATAATAAATGAGTGTTTTCTCTCTGTGTAAGGATAACAATAACAAGGGTAGTCATGTACGTCAACGCGTCGCTAAGCACCGATTAAGCACCGATTAAGCAAGTTTTCCTTATTGATAACAACTAATAAGGAAAAAAATCTCAACACAACGTCCACTAACATTGAACGTTGGTCTCTAAGATTTTAAAGTGGTTTACCCCTCGGGTGGGAGTAGAAAAAATAATTACATACGTATATGCCGAGTTCTGCATGATATAACCAATAAATAAGGCAAGTTTTGGAACGATAGTCAATTTGTAAATCAATTTTAAATGGAATTAGGTTAGTTTAGAATATTATTAACTTTTCAGGGTATAGGGGGATACATGTTAAATGTACAGACACCACTAACTCATTTTTATTAAAAAGTGGATAAGCCGAGTTTTGGAATGGACCTCCTCATATGTCCTATGTACATAGGATTTTAAAGTATTATTGTTTAATTTGGTCCCCTTTTTATGTTAATTCTGGGGTAAGAATCAAAAAGTTCAAAACAAGTTTTTGCGATATTGTGGATTTAAATTATACATTGGATGGTAATATAGCTTGGAATTGATAAAAAATACAATACAAATAAATATTTTAAGTCGTAGGAAAACAGAGGACAGAAATTATTTTTCTATTTAAATTGCTAAATAATTTTATTAATTGCTTACTTATTAGCGCAGATTAATTTTAATGTCCCGATTATACGGACGCGGTATATATTATTATTTCACATAAAAAACATAGATTCGAATATGGGTAAATATATTGAGATGCCCCCAAGTGAAAATGGTTTTTGGGAAGTCACCAGGTCTAGTAATAACATAACATAAGTTGTTCTGAACTAATGCAAGAATTTTAAGAAATAATACATTTTGAATATTTATATAAGAGCTTCACGGAACATAGCTTCCTGGAGGTTGAATTTCGTATGTTTTTTTTAAACATCCCTTTGTATATTTGAAATAAGTTGTTGTATCCTTTGACACCTTAATATTTTTTAAAAATATAATTGTACAGGGAGATCCCCTATAATGTCGCCCCCCTTTAACTTTTTTATTTTAAGTGTCCCAAAAAATTTAAAAGTATGGTTATGTAGGAACTAAAAAATACTTTGTTTCTACGTTTAAAGAAAATTGGAAAATTGATCAGTATACAGGGAAAAACAAAAAGTTTATTTTTTTTCAGTGGATCACCCTATATATGTATTTATTTTTCGATTCCTTGTAAAATTCTAAGCATATTTCATATAACATACCATATACCTAAACTCAACCGTTATTAATATGAAATATTTAAATTATTTTTAAGATAATAAGTTGAAATAGTTTGTCTTTTTCTTTCTGAGTACGCCATTTTACTTATTAAACAAGACATATTGATTGATTCTTGATTTCTAACAGTTTAAAAAAACATTTAATGATAACATTTCGAATGCGAATATTTCAGAAACAGTTGAATTTAGGATATGGTTTGTTATATGAATTATGCTCAGAATTTTACAAGTAATCGAAAAATAAATTCATATATAGGGTGATTCATTGAAAAAAAATAAACTTTTTGTTTTTTCCTGTATACTGATCAATTTTTCAATTTTTTTTATACGTAGAATAAAAGTATTTTTTTAGTACCTACATAACCACACTTTTAAATTTTTTGGGAGACTTAAAATAAAAAAGTTAAAGGGGGCGACATTATAGGGGATCACCCTGTACATATATAAATATTTATTAAAAAAACCTACTTACTAAGATATTACACTTCACGGTGAATATGTTTTTAAATAGTAAATTAATGAACTTAAACTTTTGAATTATAAAACAGCAACACTCTCATCTGCATATAAATTCTTAGGAATCACATGCATCTATAATGTCGTAAACAGAGGTTTTTGCTTATTTAAAATTATTAAAGCGCCATCCGTTGCATAAAATTTAAAGCAAAAACAGATTCACGGAGGATAGAATCAATTTTTGTAACACCTACATAAATGAATATAAAAATTATTTCTTTTAATTTTTAATAATATTTTATATTTGATTCGATTGCTTTGGATGTGTTTAATTTACTTAGTGAACTAATATTTTTAGTATGCTTTTACTACCTCAGATATTTGAAAACATATAGGTTAACCTAGAAAGAGTAACAGTCACGGAGGATAGGTTTTAGACTTTTAAAACATTGTAAAACATAATTAATTGCGGTTAAAAATCTGGAACCTGAGGTGTAATATCTACTTAATTATGAAAGATCAAAACACAATAAAAGTGTAGGTCAAACTCATTTAGTTTTATTAAATATCACGGGGTAACACCATCGGGGGAGATTTCGTGAGATTCACCCATATGCTAATAGTCCGGGAGGCAGTGAAGATTTTCGGTACTTATTTTCCCAGTCGGCAAACACCGATACAATTATTGGGTTTGTTATTCTGAGCAAAATTTATATATATTTAGGGGGGGGTTTTCCGATGGGTTAAGGCGGAAAATGCGTTATAAAGTACAAATATATTGCACTTTTTTTTCCAGTGATAAAAATAATTCCATTAGTGAGAGATATAGTGAACTTAAGAAAAAAAATAGTCTGGCTAATCTGTGAGTATGGGTAATATGTCTGGCAGGTGGAATTATCAAAACCATTGCCCTTATTTTCGCAGTCCTAAAAATTTTGTGAGATGATAGTTTATATTATAATTACAGCTGCAAATATAGTCTGGCTAATGTGGAACACTCCGAAAGCCTTGCCAGACTCGTCCAACCCTCAACAGGCGCGCTAAATTCGGCATGTTCAATTATACAGGCGATTGTTGTCATCTCTACATGTTTTTACTTTTCATAATGTATGATAAGAAAATAATTTGTGTAAAGCATTTATTTTTTAATTTAAATATGGCTAAAAAAAATGTCAGTCCGTCCGCCACCAAAAAACTTTATTCGCGAATAACTTTGTAACTATCAGAGATACGAGAAAATTTGTGCAGTTGTTTTTTGTAGGATTATCTACAAAATCGATCTCTTGACAGTCTATTGTATCTCCCTTAGTTTTTGAGTTATATCAATAAAAAAAAAGAAAATCGCGAAAATTCCCATTCAAACGCGAGTTTCTGCTATCTGACTTGTGAGTCTGGCGGGGCTTTCGTGATTGTAAATAACAGCCAGACGTGTATTTTCTACGAAATTATAGTATTATTTATCATGTGACAAATTTTCAAATCCGGGAAAATAAGAGCAAAATTTTTGTAATTCTTACGATTTTCAAGATGCCGTCAGAACAATTTGCCAATTTCATAAATCAGCCAGACTTAATTTTAATTATAGTTTATGACAGTACCAAATAATGAGTTAAATTTTAAGCATGGGAAAATAAGGGCTACGTATTTCAAAAACCGGTCAAATTTTTGCTTCCGCAAATTTTCAGCCAGACTGACTTTCCTTCACTTGGGATGTGCCAGACTGTTATTTCCATTAATAAAATGACTCACTTTAATTAATGTGAAATATTTATGACTGGGAAAATAAGTGGACTTGACTTTTTGGCTCATCTAGTGAACCCATCCGAAAATTTTAGCCAGACACACAAATTGTCGTTTTGTGTCACCATTTGAACAAACTTAATGACATTCACAAACTGGGAAAATAAGTACCGAAAATCTTCACTGCCTCCCGGACTATAATTTCATGCCAATAAACAGAATGTGCTATGATGCAAACAAACTTAATTTGGACTTTTTTAATTGCACATTGAAAATATTTAAAAAACAATGTCAAAAAATGATTACCAATTGCCAATCTTAATATAGTTTTTAGTGTATTTTTTGTAAAGTGGTATATCCGTTAATAAAGTTTATTATTATTATAATTAATTATTTTTAATACAGATTCCCAAGTTGGTTACTCTATTGTTTTATAAATGACGCCTTATGCAAATATTTCATTTAAATTATTTTTTAGATAAGAATATTAATTATTCTTATAATTATTATTTGTCGTAGAAAAAGTTTAGTATGCAACATGATTATAAACTTTTTTAGACACTCGATGATTTTAATTCGTAACTAAATTGGCGTTTATCAAACTTAAGTTGATACATAATATACTATTAGCATTCTTTACTGCTCGAGAGCACGGTGGGCTAATCTCTATAATACCCCATTGAGGCATTTTTTAAAAAGAGTTAAAAAACAGTTTTAATAAAACGTTTTTATATTTCAATGTGAACATTTCCCTTTGGAATTAATTCTGAGTTCGCACAGCATTTAGGATTAAGGATTTGCTTACAAAAACTCAATAATTTTATTATAAAATAAATCTTCCAAATGGATTTTCTATGCTAAAATCAGACCCAAGCACTCATGTTTACACACACGTCGTTATTTCAGTCAGGTTTGTGCTTCTAAATTTTTGTATTCTAAATGCGAGTTTTATAAAATAAGTTTAAAAAGAATAATAAATCTTGATTACGTTTATGCATGGGTGGAAGGAACAAAATTTAGTGAATGTCAAAATCAGCAACTCTTTGAAGATAATTGAATGCTTTTTTGGAAACTTGAGTATATTTTGTTAGTGTTTATTTTTATTTAAAATATGTTGTAGAAAATGTAGATTGTGTTTCAATGTTTGTAAAAGGCATTAGACAAATATATTTATTTATTTAGAGAGATGTTTTGTTTTTTTAACATATATACTTTAAGTGGGCGCCCTGTTAAACCGTTATTTATTACTTTGCAAGGTCCCAGGACAATTATTGACTAAGGGTGACTTTGTAGGTTTTTTTTACAAATCTAAAAAACCCACGTCACCCTTACTTAATAATGTCCTTTAATGAGGACACAAGGGTATAAAAAACACATACAAAAAATTACAAAAATAACTTCTATTTTAGTGTACGTTAATCAATATTTTTTTTATTTCAGCTGATACAATAACACGGTCGAGTCTACATTTTTTGGGAAAAGCAAAAGTTAGAACATTAAAAATGACAATAATAATAGTGTTCGTATTTTTTGTTTGCTGGACGCCATACAACGTGATGTGCTTGTGGTAAGTTTTACCAAATTAAAATTATTTCGTTTTTGTATTTTTAAAATACGTCAAACTTGGTATACTTTATACTGCTACTGCTAAACAATAGAGAGTATTTAAAACTAGTCGAATAATATTGTATTTTTTAAAATCAAACTTTGATAATAATTATAATTGATAAAATAAATATTAGGCACAAATGAAGTTATTTATAATATACAGCCCGTTCAGAGTAAAACCGAATATAGGAAAACGTTTTGGGCGTGGCCTCGCCTCCCTCCAACGCGCGACACAGTAGCTAAGCAAATAGCCTGCATCGCTAATGAGATTTTTTGCATTAGTATCATTCGTCTTACCTGCTCGACCTTTCATCATGTCGTTTATCACACAAGCTACTGTAACGCGCGTTGGAGGGAGGCGAGGCCACGCCCAAAACGTTTCCCTATATTCGGTTTTACTCTGAACGGGCTGTATATTATAATGTATAAAAGGGTGCCATGGAAATAATCCCAGGTGAGTTTTTTTGAAATCTTATTTATTTGGGCACTAGCCTCAGAAGTACCAAACGAAATCGCGCAGCGGCGCGCCAAATATTGAATGTCAAAGTTGACGAAAAACAGTTTTTTTCGATAATCTCGCAAACAGCCATTCCACGCTACTCGGGAGCTTTTGTAGCGTCCGTTACAATAAAAAATTGTTAGTAAAAGCTACCGTAATTAAATTAAATACTATAAAAATAGTTACTATTATGTATCTATGCTTGTAATAATTAGGCTTAAGCTTAGGGGCCGTCTAGAGGTCAAAAACAATATTTTGATTCGTTTTTAGCCCTTTGAACTAAAAAATCCAGGAGTTTTTTTCGAGAAAACGACTAAATTGACGGTTCATTTCACTTTAACCTTGAATAACTTTTAACCAAGTTAACTTACCGAAAAATGACTCTTGATTTTTGTAGAGCGTTCAATTCTCTACAAAAATATTTTAAATTTTTTTAAATGAGTCGGGTTGACTCGCCAAAAAAGTAAAAAAACCCAAAAATTTCGTATAATTTGAACTTTGACCTTAAATTTCTTTAGAAGGATCAAATTTATCAAAAAATCATAAAAAAACCTTTTCTACAAAAATATGTCAAGAACTTGACAGTAGGACCTATTGTTCGTTAGTTACAAAAATAAAAAGAAACAAAAATAATTTTTTCTATGTTATTTTTATGGAAAATCGAAAAGTGCGATGCGGAGCATCTTAATTTTGAAATTAAGAGCTCATTTTTTCACAGGCTCATTTTTATATCTATACGAGACTTTTGAGCGTGGTTCCGAGAAAAAAAAAACAAAAAAAAAGGTTTTTTTTAATAACCCCAATATACATAACCTCAATTATTTGTATTTAAATGTTAAAGTAACACTTTTTGACGTGGATCATAATATCTTATTATTAAAAAACATAGTTTATAGCTAAATAATAGGGGTAATATTTTAAATTTACAAAATTTGTATTATTAATCCCGATGCATTCGCCATTTTTGCAAATATTTAAACCACCAGTATTCTGCATGATGTGGTCAATATATTTATGGTTAATGTTATAAGAAAATAATAACAGTAATTTTGTCCACGAATTTTTAGTATATAAAAGCAATAAATTTATTAAACCAAACCAAAACTAATTTACCTACCAGCTTTGGTAACTTCGTTTGATGAATATTTGCAATAAATTCAATTTACAACATCAATTTAGTTCTGAGTCATTTAATTAGGTAAATAATCCTTTAATCGTGATTAATTAGCACACAAGATATTCAATAAATCTGCAAAATCTCATTTTTGCACAGAGTTAGTTTTACAAAGTACAAACTTAAAGATAAATTATTTTACCTGAACCTGCAACTGCCAGCCAAAATTAATGATTCATTTTACAAACTGTTAAATCCCTGATTGCAAACACTTACTTCTCCCGTAATTATTTTCAGTAAAGGGGAATACACATTGGTAATGACGCTAGTCAGATAGGCCTTGATTTTCATTTGTTAGAGGAGTATCTAAACCTGTATATTTCTACCACATACAGCCTAAAACTGTAAACCACCCTACTTTATTGTTGAATTAATTGCAGAATTGTGAAAAGCGTTGCAAACAAAAGGGCATTTACAATTATGCCATAGTTTCGAAATAATTAAGTCGAATGTGCTGAACATTTGCAAGGGAAATAACTTGCTACTTACCATGCTGTTTGTTTCGTGGTATTAGATGCGACCCAGTTGTGTTGTTGGCAAAAAGATTCATTGTAATTAAGTGCCATTGAATCAAATCCAGCTAAGTGCACTTTTATTTTAGTTGTTTTTGTCTAGTTTATTATGCTGTCGCTTTATAAAGAGATAAAGACTCTTTATTAAAGAGTTGTGCACAAGGAGTAGTCAGATTTTCCTGAAAATCCGTATAAAAAGGATTTTTGGGTCGCTGATAACGAATCTGGAATCAGAATTCCAAAATTCACAATGTTAGATCAAAAATGGCGGACATATTTGTCAAAAAATTAACGGAATAAATTGAAAATCACCATACAGGGGTTTTTGGGGTCGCTGATAACAAATCTGAAATCAGAATTCCAAAATTCAAAATGGTGGACCTCAAATGGCGGACATTTTTATCAAAAAATTGTCAAAATTAATTAAAAACTCGGAGGTTCTTTTTAAAATGTAAATAAAAGATTTTTTTATAAAGTAGCTTAATTAAGTTTATTATAATTACATTTATATGATATTATTTAATACCTACATATTATACGTATATATGTAGTACATATATATTAAACAATCTTCGTCACTGGATTCGCTAAAAAAATTGTCAACACAAATATCCATAATTCAAATTTGACATTAACACACTAAAATGCCCATGCGGAGTTTTTTTAATGCACCTACTGAAAAAACATTTATTTTTTTCTTGAAAGATAAATAAAAATACAAGAGGCAAAAAAATAATTGCTTAATTTAAAATTTATCAGATTCAATTAAAAAAGCAGTGGCGTGCTTTACTTTTGTAAAATGTTGTTAGTAGGCTTCATGGACGCCCCTGAACTTATTAAGCCCCTGCAAAGTTTTATTAAAATTGATCTTGCAAGTAGTTTCTGAGATACTTAAAAAACGTTTTTTATTAACTGTATACATTAAGGTGTCCCAAGATGGGTTTTTCACTTGGGTATAATCTAAATTAATTTTTTTTATTCTAAAAACAATTTTGATTTGTTTTTTTCTTTAATGACATTTAATGACAAAGAAATAAATCATAACTCGCTAATAAATATACATGCAAAAATATACAAGACATATTTTTGTAGAAAATTTTACGCTTTGGGTTAAATAGGTAAAATCATTGTTAAATATCTTAGTAGACACGAACGATTTACGCAAGTGAAAGTCTAGACACCGCTGTTGTAATAAACGTTTTGAGTTAAATCCGAGTAAATCGAGTAAACGTCATGAACGCAACCCAGAAATAAAAAAAAAATGTTATATTTTGTAAAGCAAAAACACAGATACGCCCGCGACATAGGCTTAAAATCGCGAGGTTTTTTACCACAACCGTGCCTGATCGCCCAAGAACATGTAGTTTTAAAGAGCCGGGGGCAAGTTGGGGCAGATAATTTATTGATGGCTTGATAGACAAAACTCTAAGCTATTCAACGGATCTTGAACTGATGCCTTACAATTCATTACAATTTTTGTAGCAACATTGTTCTAAAAGCTCTATTCAAAGTTTGCGATTTTAACAGACCGATCTTGTCGGTTACGATAACCCGTTGCACAAGCAAAATCTACAAAAAACAAATACATATTTTAATTTTACATACCTTGAAGATCACTCTTCATCAAACCGCATAACAATCGGACACACCACACACAAGTTATTCACTTTTAAACAATAAACAATTTTCCGCAGCGATCGCGTGTAAAGTACCTTCAACTGAAAGCGTCAAGTTTAAACTGATGTATAATACAAAATATACGGATTTTATATAATTTTTTTTCAATACAGGATGGAGACAGGTATTAACTACCCATCTAACTCAAAATTTACCTAAAACAAAATGTCAATTTTTTAGGTTTTGCCGATGAAACACTGTGGAACGCCAGGAATAACATACCCAAAATCCAGACAATTCAAATTTTTTCGGCTTCTTGTCTTATCGTGAATTATAAACGAACATCTTGATTTAATTTATGACAAGATCATAAAACTTAAAAAAAAGTTTTTAAAAATTGGCGTATACTTAAAACAAAACAAGTAATACCTATTTAAACGATCATATTTATTTTTACGATATTACATATATTTGAAAACCACTTTATAAAATTGGATTTAAATAACATTGTTTTACAATAATAAATGCATATACGATTCGGTATTATATGCATTTGATGTGCTAGCAAAACAAAAGCCTATTTAACATGGTATTGTTCAACATTTTAAATAAAATGTAAAAACTTTAATAGGAACAAGGCAAAAAATCATGTTATTTTTTGTTTTTAGTGGTTAATTAAATTCATTGAAAAGGCAAAATTAGATGAACATGGATTCGGCCAATACTTTTAATTAAACATCAATTTCCGCTAAATGACAAATTCCAATCCTTTGACACGTTTGCACAGGATTTAATTAAAATATGCGTTTGATAGACAAACAAAGCTGCGAGTTATCCAGTAGAATACAAAATATTATATATCGGGTAAGATATGCAATCACCAGAGATAACTTGCTTAATAAGTTTGTGTAGTTGAGATGATATTTACTTTATCGATAACAAAATGTATGGAAAATGTGTTTAAATTACTTACCTTAAATCTACTATAAGTTACAGATACATAACATTATTTCTACTGAAAGTGCCATAATATTCAGTTGACAATATAATTCATTAATATTAGAACCAATAAAATGCCAGTATTCCATAGTGACGTATTTTATCACAGCGGCAATAATTTTTATCATCTTGTTTACACGTTACTATGAACTTTGACG